CCAGGGATGGCTCTGAAGGCGAGGGAGGAGGGCACGTTGTCGACCCGGATAACAAGGTGCTATCAAATTGTTGACGTCGAGGGTCACGCCCACGCCCAAGTCTGTCGAAAATGGCGATGCCGGGTCGGGGATACAATTCAGGGCGATGTCAGCGCCGCCGGCACCTTGTGGTGCATTGATGCGAGCAATGGTCGATGGAGGGATGGATTGACACCATGCGAAAGGCACATGGGCTGGGGTCGAGGGGGTTGGAAGCAACAGAAACCGCAGGTCAGGCGTGCAGGACCTTGACTGAACTCACATCCGGATGAGATGGCAAGGACATTTCCAGGGGGGTCCTCGAAACTGATGCACACTGCCAGCTTGGCTGAGGGAGCATGCGAGGAAGTACCCCAGCCGCCTTTGGACTCTAGAGCGAGGTACTTGCGGCGCTCAGTTAGGTGCCTAATCGATGTATCCACAGATACCTCTACCTGCCTCCTGAGTTCTTCCCTACGTTCCTTCCTGCCTACGCCTAGGTACCTAGGTAGGTAGGTACCTGGGCAGCAAGTCCCCTACCCACGACAGTCCAGAGCATCCGTGTGCCTTACCCCTCTGTAATACAGGAAGGGACTGGGAGCTGTCCAATGGGAACTCCGAAGTTTGCTTGTGGTGCGGCCCCGGCTGATGCACCACTAGGCTGCGACAATCATCGCCCGCCCACCTTACCTTGTTACGTACCTGTCCCACAGTCAATTCCTTGCGATACGCTTCCAATTACATAGCAACGTTGCCAATCCAAACATCACGTACATTACCGTAGCCCTCGATGCAAGCTCTGATATTCGAGAATCAGCTGATTGGGCTTGCTCCTCATTCCTCTCAATGCGATTTCAAGTAATTGCTGGCTTGGCCAGTATTGCTATCTTGCAATCAGGTGCCTCCGCCATCGGCACCGGACCTCTTGTAACCCACGACGATGCAAATCACCTGCACAACCCGACACATCGACGACTGCCCTTCCTCTCCTGGATCCGCGACGCTGCGGTCGAACTTTTTTTTGGCCCATATCCTTCCAGGACCGAAATAAGGACCGAAATACGCCATGGCGTCCCGACCCCGAAGCACTATACGGACGAAGTTGTGCTACGCTTCAACCTAACCGCGCCCGAGGAAGAAGCTGCCATGGCCCGGTCCGCCTCCACCTTGTTTCTCGACATTTGGGCATTCACGGAGGATTTCGTCGATATCAGACTACGCAAAGACAGAATTGGGACTCTGCTTGGTGTGCTACCTAAAACCCTACGCGATTCCTACTCGGTGCTCATACCCGACGTCTCTGCGGCGATTCACGGGTCACGCCCCTCCACACCAGGTGTACAACACCAAGAATACATGCCCTGGGACGAGAGGTCTGGTCTTCTGCGTCCTCATGCTGACAGCGATACCGTCTTCTTCCGTGACTATCGACCTCTCTCCGTAAGATTCCTTGCAAACCACTCGACTGGGCGAACGAATTACTAACTCGCGAGGCAGGTCGTTGTGCCTTGGATGCGACTCCTCGAGGCTATGTTCCCTGCGATCACAAGAATGGTCAACATCGGCTTGTCATACGAGGGGCGCGACATTCCGGCCCTCAAGGTCGGGGTTTACAAGCCCGGCGAACCAGTACCAAAGAGGAAGACGCTGCTCGTCACAGGTGGCATGCACGCCCGGGAATGGATTTCAACGACCACCGTCAACTATGTGGCCTGGTCCTTTGTGACTAGCTACGGACGTGATCCCATGATCACTAAATTGCTCGAGCACTTCGATGTCGTCTTTGTTCCAGTCCTGAACCCCGATGGCGTGGAATACAGCTGGCGGGTAGATCGCCTGTGGCGCAAGACTAGACAGGGAACTGATGTGTCGTTTTGCCAGGGCCTTGACTTGGATCACGCATTCGGCTTCGAGTGGGACGGTGCTGGGCCTAACGGTGAGCCTTGCTCCGAAAGCTACGGAGGCGCGAAACCCTGGGAGGCCGTGGAGGCGGTAGCGCTGGCGAATTGGGCGCGCAATGAGACGACTAACAACAACGTCGAATTTGTGGGTTTGATTGACCTGCATTCGTATTCACAGCAGGTCATGTATCCTTTCTCTTACACCTGCGATACCGATCCTCCCAACCTTGAGAACCTTGAGGAGCTGGCTGTCGGGCTTGCCAAGGCTATCCGGCTATCGAGCGGCGAGGCCTACTCGGTCACGTCGGCATGTGAAGGGGTTGTGGCAGGCGGAGGCGACATGGGCCGCCCTTCCCGGGTCGAAGTGGGCGGGGGCTCGGCCATTGATTGGTTTTATCATGAGATGCGCGCACATTTCAGCTATCAGATCAAGCTGAGAGACATGGGGAGCTACGGTTTTCTACTCCCGAAAGAGAATATCGTGCCTACGGGCGAGGAGATGTTCAACGCTATGAAGTACCTTGGAGACTACTTGCTAGGCAATAACGGGATCGAGCGTTCGAACAAGCAACATTCAATGACGCCGCCGGCGGGCGGGGTTTTCAGCAACCTTGAACTTCGCCGGTTGAAGCGCCGTTGATGACAAAGGTACGAGGGAAAACACAAAGCGATGAGTACGGGTAATTACAAGAAGACGACCGGAGGAGACGACCCAATGGTGGTTGAGGATTATTACTACACAAGATGTTCTACCAGCCCATAACCAAGGCCACTGACGCGTACAGGGCGGTAAGCTTAAGGGTGCTGTCGAAGATGAAAGAACCGATGGAACCGCTTTGTTATGGCAGATGGGTCAGTAAAGGGGTGGTTTCCGCCGTCGCGCTGTCCAAGTCCCTGCACGGAGAGATTTTAGGAGGAAGGGGGTGGAGGGATAAGAACGTACATCATACGGCCTGGAGGCCCCCGCTCGCTGGCGTAGCCGAACGCGTAGGAGGGAGCGACAAATGGACCAACCGGCACCCAGGACGGCGGCGGCCACGGGGTAGCGCAGACCGGCAATGAGCAGGGCGCCAAGGAACGAGGTGTGGTTCTCAGTGAAGTTGGCATGGGCACGCTGGGCTGCAAGCCGCGCACGTCACAGGTCAGTCATTCGTGAGGCAGAGGAAGCAATGTTGGGCCTGCAGGGCAAACGATCAGAAGATGGTGACGGACCCGCAGTTGAACATGTAGGCCTTGCGTCCTTGTCTGCCTGCTCGTTTGAGGCGTAGGCGATGGGGTACTTCAGACCGCTCAACTTGGGGAACTTTCTGGGGAGGATAAAATGGTGGGTGGTGATGAAGAAGGTGATGTAGCCACGAGGAGGACGTAGCTAGCCAAGCCACTTGTTAGCATCGATCAAAGTAGCCAATACAGCTAAACAGAAACAGTGTTCTGCGGTGCCATGGGAACGCGCGAACCTGAACTCTTCGGGAAGCTGAATAGTAAGAGGCATGGCGAAGAACGTGTGTCAATCTTTCGTTGAGTGGCTGCTGGGGCCAAAGGATGGGGGAAGGGGAGCCGTGGAGTCAACAAGGTGTCATAGAAGGCAGACTTATAGGTCAGAGCTCGGTGTTCAACACTAGGATCCTGGGTGCAAAACCGGACGGAACAACCACGGCATCAGGTCCCTAACAAGGGCCAAACCTGTCGGTCGGCAACACCTCAAAGCCCGATGGCCTCCACTACCCACAGCCCCCAGCAGGGAAGGACACAACAGCTGAGTTGCGCACGATGACTAAGTGGGAGAGCGGTTCAACTATAGACCGTAGGCGCCTGCAGATACGTACCTCTGCTCCGGCGGTGGTTACGCGTCCGTCTTGGTAGGCAGGTAGGTAGGTAGGTACCTGGAGAGTTCCTCTCGGGCTCAAACATGGCCGTAAGACAAGTCCTCCAGTCTGGAAGACGTTGCCGTCTGTCCAGCACTTTGACCTCACCTGTGCATGTTGTTCGAATCCCTACAAAGCTCGAAAGGTTCGTTGGCTGCGGTGCTTCACTGCAATTGGGACTGTTGTCATCGTTCAATTCAGGCCCTGATTGATCACTTGGGCAACCCGACAGAAAAGCACCCGCTATCCCATATGACGCCATTCCTACCGATGCACAATCCTCACCTCAGCAACTTCTCCAGCGCCCCCACCGACCCTTCTTTGGTCATCCACTACAACGTGCTCAACACCATGTCGAATGCCGAGATCAGCGTCGACACGTGCGCCTCCTCGAACACCAGCATCGGTCGCAACCTGACCGTCCTCACACCGCAGGTACCAATGTTGACACCAATCTGCTTCATCGCACGCACCAGCTCGGCAGGTTGAGGTGTGTCAAATGCGATAAACGTGCTGCGGGAGCATCTTGGTCAGCGTCCATTGAATGATGCCTTTTGCTCACGCTGGGGAGAACATTGACTTACCCTTGTCCCTTGCCTCGAAGATTTTGGACCTGCTCAGGATATCTCTCTGCGAGTTTACTGATCTCGGCGTAGAGAAGGCCGCCCACGCGTGCCTGTTCCAATGTCAGCAACTGATGTCCTTCCTGGGGGGCCAGCTCTTGACCGGCTCAGTTCGGCACGTACGCATTGCTCGACCAGCTTGTTGTCGAGAATCTCCTCGATGACAGCCTTGCACATGATGACACGGGCCGGGTCACCCATCCACGTGTTGAATTGACGATAGGCCTTGTCCGGCACCAACATGCGGTCGCCGAAGAAGTACCCGGCCGTCTGGGCCTTCTTGGAGAAGGTCACAATATCCGGCGGCGAAGTCAAGTTCCAGTGCTCATGGCCCCAGAACCTGCCCGTCGCGCCGAAACCAGTTTGTACCTCGTCCACAATCATGACGACGCCGTGCTTCTTGGTGATGTCGCGGAGCCCCTGGAAGAAGGCGGGCGAAGGGGTTGTCGCCACCCTCGCTCTGGATCGGCTCCGTGATCAAGCCAGCCACGGGGCAGTGCCATGACGTGATGAGCTCTCGACCTCGCGTAGGCACTTTGTTCTTCGGCCGCATTTCTTCTCGACGTGAGCCTCAAAGCGGGTACTTGCGCCACCGGGAAGGGCGCCTGCGGCCAATTGAACGACGGCACGTCGAGCTTTTCACCGCCTTGGAGCGTGTGGTGGAAAGGCTGCCGAAGCCCCGACCGTGGAAGAAGTTGGCAAAGCTCATGATGGCGAGATCGGGCGATCCAGGCTTCGCATTGTTAAGGCACGAGCTGGTCTCCTCTGCTGTCCATTCAACGCCCTCGCCGCGCTCTTTGCGGCGGTATAGCATGAAACACGCCTTGTAGGCGAGTTCGTTGGCCTCGGACCCCGACTGTGCTGTGAATATGTTGTCAAGTCCCGCAGGCGCCGCCCTGAAGAGACCCTGCTTCAGAAGCTCCGCCCAGTTGCTAGAGGGGAAATTGCCAATGGCCGGACGGTTGACCAACGCAGATATCATCTCGGGCGACTTGGCTGCGGCCACGAGAGCCGCATTGTTGTATCCCACGGGGATGGATGCGATCTGCGCATACACGTCCAGGTAGCGATTGCCATCCACATCCACGATGCTGGGCAATGTCAGTCATGCGATACCGTGCGACCTGAGGGCCGTGCCGTTGCTTACTAGTTCCCTGAACTCTTTTCATAATCCACTACAAAATGAATTGCGCGAGCATCGAAGAAAGCATCGAGCTGCTTAGAAGCAGCCTTGGACAGAGGGCCAGGCACCTCTGTCGCAACCGAGTTCTCGAGAATGGCAGGCATTGTGGCTGCTGCTATCTTTCGCTGGATTCAGGTGAGCACAGTCCGGTGGTTGTACGCGGATTGTCAAACTTAGTTTTGGCGCGCTGTTGTTTGTAGAGACCCGTGTTTATCAGGGGGACCCGCGCCGGCATTATAAAGGCATTGCAACGCTTCTATCAGCGACTCCGGCGGAATGACTGAAACCGGCATCGTTGCTCCCGGCCCATGCCGGCCCATGCCGGCCATCATCCGGTGGCTATGTTCCCTCAATAATCTCTAGTCCGGTTTCTACTCCTGCAGTGATGTATGATTTGGCACCCCTAGTCATGTCGTGCCAGCGCACTTCGCTGACACATGGCACACGTCTTGACACCGGGCCGGGCAACATGGCCGGGACCCACACAGTCATAAAGCCCGGGAGGGGGACCGGCAGTGCGCGGGACCGAGCCGGGCTGCAGGTACCATACACCTGCAACAGCTTCAGACTCACATGAGCTCGAGTAGGCATGAAATTGAATTGGCTGCCATGATTGATATATGACTGGTAGAAGCTAGGCTCTTCCAACGGAGATCGCGGGTACGCCACGGCCTCGGGGACAATTTCAGTAATTTCACAAAGCTGCCTTTTTGACACCGATCGAATAGTCTGGCTGTGGACGACAGGACGTGCTGCGGCATTCATCTATTACCATGATCTCAAAGATTCACCCTGTAGGTTTTCCTTCAGATTTGTAGGGTTTTTTTTGGGGGGGGGGGGGTTCCTTTGGCTCTGCATGGACTCGGCTTACAACCACAATAGTTACATGATCCGTTCCTGATGCGAACGGCATGCTACGTGAACGGCGATTGGGTCGCGGCTGGCTCCAGCAAAAAATTCAACGTTGAGAGTATGTCTCGCATTCGAGTCTCGCGAGGCCCGATCAATACTGAGGCCAGTTTCCGTGGGGAAACCATGCTGACCATGTTCTAAGACCCATCAACGCTGGCATCGGTAGCTCAATGTCCTGATTTCGACGTTGAGGACACCGAGGCTGCCATCGAAGCCGCGCACCAAGCATTCGCATCCTACCGCAAGACACCAGCTCGCACGAGAGCTCGATGGCTCCGCCGGTGGTCTGAGCTCATGATTGAAAACGCCGAAGACCTGGCACGCATCATTACGCTCGAGAATGGCAAGCCACTTGCAGATGCCACGGCCGAGGTCCACTACGCAGCAAGCTTCTTCGAGTGGTTTTCAGAGGAGGCGCCGCGCATTTATGGCGAGACCATTCAGGCGAGCAACCCGAGCTGCAGGATCGTCACACTCAAAGAGCCCATTGGCGTCTGTGGCTTGATCGCACCATGGAACTTTCCCGGCGCCATGATCACCCGCAAGGTAGGCCCGGCGCTGGCGGCAGGCTGCACCGTTGTCGTTAAGGCGCCGGCCGAGGCACCTCTCACGGCCCTTGCTCTCGCCGAGCTGGCGCACAGGGCTGGTATCCCCAAGGGCGTTGTCAACATTATCACGGCGTCGGCACACAACACAATCGCGGTCGGGAAGATTCTGACGACCCACCCCATCATTAAGAAGGTGTCCTTCACCGGATCCACTGGCGTGGGAAAGATCCTCATGAGCCAGAGCTCTACCACACTGAAGAAACTTTCCCTTGAGCTGGGCGGTAACGCGCCCTTCATCGTCTTCGAAGATGCCGACCTCGACGTCGCCGCCCGGGGCCTCATTGCATCAAAGTTCCGCATCTCGGGCCAGACCTGTGTCTGTGCCAACCGCATCCTTGTCCAGCGTCAGGTTTACGACGCATTTACTCGGAAAGTCCTCGACATCGTCCGGACTTTCAAGGTTGGTGACGGCCTCAGCGAAACAACGACACATGGGCCACTCATTCACCAGCGCGCAGCCCAAAAGGTGGACGAGCACGTCAAAGATGCCGTCTCGAAAGGTGCTCGAGTGCTCCATGGCGGCGAACCTCTGAAACATCTGGGACCCAACTTCTTCGACATTACTTTGCTCGTCGACATGGCGCCCGGTATGAAGATCTGCACAGAGGAAACGTTTGGTCCTATCGCAGCTTTCTTCGCGTTCGACACGGAGGCGGATGCTATCGAGATGGCCAATGACACAGAAGTCGGTCTTGCCGGTTATTTCTTCAGCCAGGATGCGAGCCGCTGCTGGCGGGTAGCAGAAGCACTTGAAGTCGGCATGGTTGGGGTCAATGTTGGTAGGTTACCCCTGCAAACTCACGCGATACTGCATACGTGATTTCGCAGTCCATTAATGTGTATCACAGGCTCCATTAGTGACCCAGCTGCGCCTTTTGGTGGCGTAAAGCAGAGTGGCTTTGGACGAGAAGGTAGCAAGTACGGCATTGATGAGTACCTGGTGACCAAGATGGTCATGACAGGCGTGAGCGAGTCGTGAGCCATAAGACCAGGAGGGCCTGGTAGCCCATAGCGAGATGTAGCATGTATCATTTGCATAAAGAATACCATACATATGATTGTGTCGACGGTGTTCTGACTCTAGGCCGCTGTCACGGGCCTTATCGGTTCTTCAAGGACGAGACGTCAACGCATCATGTGTCCCGGAACTTGCACAGGATGGGCCGGATCTGCTTAAGAACTCGCAAAATCGTATTCCCCACCGAACACCCATCATCTGGCGCCATGGGCTGCCAACAATGTCTGCGTCTCCCTTGAATCAGAACGCCCGATTGAGCGTCCGAAGATGTGATGGTCAGGCAGGCCGTGCAAGGAATCGGCAGTGCGCAGTAGCACTTAGCCGGTGGCCTTTATGTTCTGGCCTGACTCAGGTATGCCGCCGCCGAAAGAGGCAAGAAAAACGCCCGGCCCCGTGTACTCGGCCACGGTCCTACCGGGGCCCCAGACAAGGAACGTAGCAGTGTCACCCGGTGCATCGCTGCTCCGGTGGCCGCCAGTCAAGTCTCAGCCCCTCAAACACACGCTGCTCGGCTGTTAACATATCGGGCGCTGTCCCTCGACTCCCCCTCTCCAGATCGACCCAAGACCCGTCTGATCGTTTGCGTATGCCACTGCTGTCGAATTTGTAACCTAACTCCTTCTTACAGTACCTTCGCACATCTCTCTGGAAGGTTGTCCCGCCACTCCACCCTAGAACTGCGCAACCCACTGTCTTCCAAGGGCTTATGATGATGTCGACACGCCGGTGTGGCCTGCCAGAAGGCGAGTCTTCGCTCCCCGGCTCCTGCCAAACAACCATGGCCTTATCGAGCGTGTCGAAACCCGCCCCCTTGGTCCTAGCAGCATCAGCCTTCCACGTAAGAGGCTTCTGGTCCCTCTCACTGTTGTGAGTGCTCAACGTAAGTGTATGCGTGATGAGGCGTGCCTTCTCGAGAGATGCGACGAGCCTCTCAATAAATCTGTAAGTGGCATCTTCGTCCGCGTGGCTCAAAATAACATCGACGTCACCGCTGCTTTTTTTGCCTCGCCTATGGCCTCCGACAATGGTCAGCTGGAAGCCGGGCTCAATTTCCTGAGCTTGTTGAAGAATGGTGGCAGCAATGGCTTCCACCTCAAGGCGTGGAATGGGTTGGAGGAACTCGTCATAATACTTGACTCCGATCTGCTGAACACGACTGAGGCGGTCCCAGCCGTACTCAACCAGATCATCCAAATCTCGCCAGCCCTTTTTGTAAAACTCGCGAGCCGTCATGTCACCGACGCCCCATATATTATAGAACAGGCGAAAGACGGGTAAGCTTGCCTCCTGCTGTGAAGAATCAATCTCCTCAAGCGAGCCTGTTGATTTCCACTGATGATAAAGCTCGGCAATTTTGCTGCCACAACCAGGAAGTCTTGCTACTTCTGCCTTTGAGTCAGTCTAGTTCTCGCAGATCACCTAGTTTTGACTATCACATATACTGACCAGGAGAAGTGGATATCACATGAGGGTACGCCGCTAAAGTGGCTATTGCAGTCGAATAGGCACGCACACCAATCTCATCACCAAGCAGTTTTCGTGTCGTTCGTATCTCCTTAAGTGCCTCTACAAATTTATTGTTTGGTGGATTGACAGGTGTTGGTCTTTGACACGAGTATGTGGTCCTCAAAAACGCTGGTATTGAAGGCAGAGTCATTCCAACATCATGTTCCGACGTTGTTTCTCTCAGTAGGCTGGGGCCTTGGGATACAGGAACAGACCTGTGAAGGCTTCGGCGCCCCGTTGGACTTTTCCGGTCCTGCTGAGCCACTGGCTGCTTTGGCTGCTCAGACTTCGAATGTCGCGGCGACTTTGCCTCGGAACTTTGAATAACTTGACCTTGGTACAGCATGTAAGACTGCATCGGGAGCAGCGTTCCTGCTGCCAGCGACTCCGTCACCCATGCCAGCTTCAATACCCTGATTTCTTTCGCCGGCCTTGATGGTGTGGGGTCTCCATCGATGCTCGTAGAAACTCTGATCCGCTTTCTTGGCCCGGTCTGAGATGGGTCAGAGTCGACAGCTACGTCCAGTGGCTCAGTGAGGACATTCCTGTGCCGCAATTCGAAGAGCGCTCTTTCTCGCTTAGAGATATTGCCGATGATGACGTCCGCCTCCAGTATATCATATGTTAATGAAGGAATACTTTCCTCAACCTCGTGAAGTCGTCCGGGATCTAGATGTGTGGGCAGAAGAAAGATCGAAGGAAATAGCAGGCTCATGTCGGCAAATTAAAGAATGCTCGCTATGCATCCGTTTTCGAGTCTGCTCATAGAAAACAATTCGCCTAGACGTCATCGTCTTGTTGGAGGCGTGCTGTTGCTGTTTGTAATGGGCATGAGGCAAGCATGAAGCGAAAAAGCATGTGGGGCAGGCAGGCAGGTTAATACTGTTGGCCTGTGTTCATTAGCCCGCGTATGCTGTGGTGACGACGAATGATGTTCATCACCGAATCACCATCCTGACATCATTGATCATTTGTGCTTATCGCAACAGAAGGACGCACCCCAAATGTCTCAAGGTCTGGCTCGGTAACCATTTCTAGACACGAAGACCTGGATAACGCCCCGTGCACCTGCAAACAACCTGAACACCCCCAGCATCATGGACGAAAATAAAATGTTGTACGCCTCCGTGGCCGTGCCTGAGCCGACTCTCATGAAACATCTTCAAATTCAAGGTCTTCTTCGCTCTCGTCACCTTCCTGCTGAGCCGGCGACTCAAGCTTGACTCGTTTTGCTGGCAAGTCGTCGGCGCTGTCTTCATGGGAATCTGCGCTTCTTTTATTCGCAGGCGTGGCAGCACTGGCTGGCGTTGCCCCGCTGGAGTTGTTGCCTGTCGCCACAACATCCTCGAAATCGTCCTCGTCATCGTCTTCCTCGTCGTCGCTGCCTTCTTCTGCCAGCGCCCGTGCAGCATCTGCTTCTTGCTGTGCCTTAATAGCTGCGAACATCTTTGCCATTTCCGAGTCATCTTGTTCCTCCCCGCTGCTTTTGATGCCCTCTTTCGGATCAAGTGCTTGCGTTTTCACCGCAGGGGTCGATGTAGAATTCGCCGTGAGATAGGATTCTCCCGTAACGGTGCTGTTGGACATCCATGAAGGTAGCGCATTTTGATGCGCAATCTTATCTTTCCTGGCCTGCTCCGCGGCCTTCTCTGCCTCTGACGGTCCGTCGGATGTGGATATATTGACTGATAGAGACTTTGGTCCGATGTTGTCCAGTCCTTTGACCGATGTAGGCTGGAGGGCCGAGACAAAACCGATGGGACCCTGGCTGGTATCCGGTGCGAGCGGCTTGTAGGCACTGATAGCTATGTCGAATGTGTTCTCTGGTACGACCACATCATCGATGCGCGGCAGCATCTCTGTGATGAACTTGAACTGCTCGTTCAATCTGGTTGACTCTTGGTGTCCCGTCGAGTGCCGTTCCAAGTCATGTGTCAAGGGGTACTCGCAGTTGTGACAGAGGAACCCTGCGCTGCTGGCTTTGTCGAGCACCTCCATTTGGGTCCATTCCGCTTTGCAACGCTCGCAGAAGTATTCCTTGCGCTCGCTTACCGGAATGTTCGTGCCCTGTATCTCTTTGTCCACGGTGTACACCCGCCACTTGATCGCGTCGATGGCCTGTCGGTAATCGATGAAGTAGTATTGTTTGTTGATTGGTCGCTTCTGTTCCGGGTTATTCGACTGCTCCGGTCGCGTATATCTATGAACGATGGGGATTAGCATGGGGAAAGATGGATGTATGGAAGGGAGTTTCCGTACGACGTGATGAAGCGATCTTCTCGCAGCTTTCCGCAAAGCCTGTGTACCTCTTTTGTGTTCATTCCCAACATAAAGCGCAAGTCTTCGTCCTTGAGTCTGGTCTTCGTTAGTACCTTGGCGCCTCAAGAAGATTCGCGAATCCGCGCTGCAACGTACGCCGAATGGATGATTAGGGCGTCAATGACCAGGACATAGTTGTTGTCGTAGAAGGCTCGAACCACCTGCCTGACCAACGTCTTGGCCATGTCCAGTGGAGGCGCCATGCTCACCGATCGAAGATTCCCAGGTGAAGTGACAGTGATGTAGTATGTGAATCAAAGGATCATGTGATCAAGAAGGCAATCCTGCGGCAGCAGAAGAGCTCAGGTTTGCGAGTGTGACAAGGTGTTGGGCAAGTGGTCCATCGCCGACAGGGTAGGAAGGTCGAGCGTCGCGCCAGCTGGTAGAATTGTTTGCGCAAGCCTGCTGCAGTGGGAACAGTTCGATGGAGGCAGAGTCAATTTCACGCTGGTCTCTCGATTGCTTAACCCGCAGTCGACTGTGATGAATAGTCGTGGGATGGTACTCGCCAATATATTGAGGTGGTGGCCCAATGCTGGAACAAGGGCAGAAAGAGTGCAAAGTACTGCTACAAACTTCAAAGCAGCCATCAGATTCTACGTTGCCCACGAGTACTGAACCAAGCACTGGTGTTGGTGGGGTTTGCACGGGTCTGACCCACTAGAGCTGCGACCAATCAATACTACAGCTGGCTAATGCTGCAGGTCCATCTGCAATCGATCAGCGCTGGGGTACAAGGCGCTAGGTAACAACTCTCAGCGCGTTCTGACACCCGGCGTGGTGCAAGCCATATTCAAGCTCCCTTGCCCCAGATCTTTTCGAAAAGAGTGCAGCCAAAGTGATGAGAATTTCTCGCAGCGATCAAATAGAGAGAAGTAAGCCTGGCACCAACCGAAACGCCAGGTCGACCGGTCATACCCGGTCGGAAATGAACCGGATTGCATCTCGCGCCCAACACACCACTGGCTAAGTTGACTAAGTTGAACCCCCCTTGCCCAAGCATAACACACTACCGTCGGATACCTTAAGCAGCCGGATCACCGGACACCTGCCCACCAGGTTGCAGCAGGCAGAAGAAGTTCACCCACGCCATGAAACCCTGTTCTTTCAAACATACTTTCGAAGCTATGCGAATT